ATAAAGCAAAAAGGATTTAAGTTCAAACATATGTGTCCACTCCAACCATGAAATTGCCTGCAGACTGATTTTTAGCTTGGTGCTTTGCAAATTTTATCAAAACATTTTGAATCAATGTTCACATATTTCACATTGGTTAGTTTTGCCCAAAAGTAACAGAGTTCACAATATCTTCTGAGAAGTAATGTACCTCAACGCTTAGGTCAACTTGAAAATTACTTTCTAACTAGTTCTCACCACAATTTGTAAAAAAGGGTCTTTGCAATCTGTTTTGAACTTCCTAACTTGAATGTTTATCTCCTTTTTATATGAAGACATATTTTACAAGATTCTACATTCTGGCTATTTCTTAAAAAAAAAACCAATCTGCGCCATGCAAATCAAATACACCTGTGACCACAATCACCTACATAAATCAGGTGATATTTGGAAACTTTTGAACCAGTCAACTTCTTCAAACCTTTCTGAAGGGGATGATAAGAACTCTACACCCAATTAGCCAAAATTCTGGCAAAGTAGTAAAATACATCTGGCCAGTTACAAAGCGTCTCAGCTGGTCACTGAGCTGCCTCACTGAGCTGCCGTTATATCACTGGGTGTACTTTTATGGCCTACTGAATTGCCACCTTTGGCAGAACAAACAGCTCTAAAGTAGTCACTGGGAGTTTGGAATGTTTCGAGAGAGGCAATAAAGGCCTGTTGTCATTGCAATGAAACTGCTTGCTGCAGTAGCTGTGTTGATGATTTTTACAAGGTCCTAGATTACCTGGAATGCAGAAAGTCAGCAATCATAATTCGTAATCACAACCCTGGTATTTAGGGAGTAGTGAAGGATGGCCCAAATGTCTGAGTATTTTGATGTCATCTGATAATTTATCATATTTCTTTTGTGTACAGACATATTAATACTGCAAACCCAATCTGGTCCACTCCACAGCAAGCAACAAGTGTGTGGTCAAACTATGTACAAGCAAAACTATACCATCTACAGTTTAACAAAAGCAAAAACAGACAGGACAAACTTCTTGGGAAGATTAAGACGAGTTCCAAGTTCGGCCATTTATAAGTAAGGCACTGTGGATGAAAAGAAAGGTGAAAGTGCTGGTTAATGTCTTTCAATGTAGCAGTTAGATTGCACAGGTGTAGAGGCTCTTTTGCAGAGTTCAAGCTTTTTGTCCCGTCACATCGCGTACATATATCGTCAGGCCTCCTAAATCTACGCTGTCCTATTTCCACGCACTCACCTTTCAGAGAACGTTTTGTGGACACGCGGGTGATTGAATGGCCAGTGGTCACTTGTACCATTTCTCCGTGTTCACGGGTTTTGCATAAGACCAAAATATGTAGGAAATTAATCCTGTAATCTCAGTTTATGTGTAAAAGAAATAAACCCTTCTTTCGGCAAATTTTCCTAGACACAAATAATATTTTGTGTCGTGAGTCCCCACCAAAAACTCAGAAGTCTTTGTGTAATCTAACAGTTCGCCCTCTATTGTCTGGTAGTATGTACTTTTAAGGTGTCACGTGAGGTCATTAAAATTTGTTGACTCACAGAAGTGCTTCAGGGTGAAAATAGGACCCTTCGCTTATATTTGAAGTATCAAAACATTATCTCTTGTTTATGTTGTCAAGTGATTTAATATGAATAAACATTGGTGGTGGATCCATTTCTAGTGTTCCTTTATCATTTTTTTCCCAGAAGGGAGCTAGATAACTTGGGTTGACATCGGATTGCCCATATTCATGAATAAAGGTAATAAATGGTGGGATGGGATGTGCTCCAACCTGATTTACGTGGAAGGGCACAGACATAAACCCAAGGGTGTAAGAGGGGTGTGGATGGGGGTGTTGACTAACTTGTGATAGTGACTGCAGGGTGTACAAATAAAAAAGAATATGGCAGTAAGTGTTGGAATGGAATTAGGTCTACCAGCCCTAGGAAAGGGTATTTAGAGGACACCAAGACTATTTGTCTTCTTTTAAAAACTATTTGTTCATTATTATGATTACAGATTTATTTTTGGAGGTGGATTTAGAGACAAGGTGGATGGTCATGGGGTGTACAGAAGAGGGGACAGACCACTGGAGGATATGGGGTGCCATATTTAGTGTTGGGCTAGTGAAGACTGTCAAAACTGACAAGTAAATAAGACTTTGCTTTTATTATGCAAGGATGTTCAATAGTGACAGACCGAGGAATCTCATGTTATTAACAGTAAAGATGCTGTTCTTTATTAAAATCTATTTCCCTATTACTGATTTAAGAAAATTACTCAAATGAACTGGCAATGACTACTGGAAGATTTGAAATTTGAAGCTGTTGAAATTGCTTTAAAATTCATAGAATATGTGCTATTACAATGCTGTTATGATGCCAAACACCAGGACCTACCCTTTCAATAAATATGTTTTGTGTAGCACATCTTGGCCACCGTATATTTCAAAAGCCGCCAGCTGCATAGATTTAGGCAGGAATTTTTACACACATACTTGGTCGAACCCACTAAAAGCTGCCTACTCCTGGGCACAAAAAGAAGTCACTTTTTTGTGTGAATTGCTTCAATGACAGACTGTGAGTTGTAGAAATAAAATCACCTCTATAAAATTTCAACCACATTATAGCTTTCTGGAAATCTTGTTTCAAAGTCTTAGGTGCGTAGAAATGGGAGGATCGAGGATACTGGTACAAACTCACAGCTGAGCTAATCAAAGGGCACAGATTTAAATTTAGTCATCACACAGGTTGAAGGATATCTGGAGTACGTGACGCACATCCTCGATGAATCATGAGATGAATGCCCAAGCTAGGTTCTTGTTCATGTGCACACGTGCATGCAGCCAACTGTCCTTTGGGTAAGGGGCTCTACGTTGAATTTGATCTTGAAATCAGAAATACACCACAAAAAGTGGTCTTATTACCAGCACATGCTAAAGAAAAAACGGCTGGATCTCTGGACTCCCTTCATCACAGCATGTACATCCTTAGAGATGCGGCTATGGCTAGAAATATAATATGCTTCTATTGAAGCCATGATGTAGCAGCTGCAGTGGCTTCCCATAGATGGGTGTACACATTTTTCTCAGCAAGAGCCAACTGGTTTGGACATGACTTACATGTGTACACTACTGGACTGCCCCTGTACTCGGGTGTATTTCGAAGCAATGATACTTAATGAATGGTGTTAGAAAAATTTTCAAAGTTGTCAGACCATCAGGCCTCAGGCCATTAACAAGGCAATCTATTAGGCCCAACCCCATCATGTAGGACCAGCAAAATATGCAGAGACTATATCTCCCAGTCAAAAAAGTGTGTGTGGGGGGGCCCCTGGGGTAGAGACCAAACAGGACGATCTGACCTGATGCAGAAATCTACATACGAGTTCCTTCAAAGATGGATAACATCTGTAAATTACTTTGAAACGTCTCAAAGAGGCACACAAGTACTCAAACTAAACTTAGCTGAAGTCACTTTTCAAACTTTGTATTTTATCATTTGAGTGGCAGGCGGCCCATCACCAAGGGGGCCCCCGAGGGGGTCGACCCCCCGGCAGGAAGCTGCGCCCCCATCAGTAAAACGCATACGCATGAAAACATATTTTGTTCCTGTGATGTGGCCCCCTGACTGATACTATGGCCCCCCTAATGCCTGAAGTTGGCAACGGTGCTGGTGGGAGGGGGGCGCAGCAAGTGCAGGGGAGAGGATATACTGAGAGAAATTAGGTTCTAAATGCTGGGCTGATTACATGGATAAACAGATATGGTAAATCATGCGGCAAAACTACTCAATACGCAGGGTGTCCACATAAAAGGTATAATGAGATAAAAATTACATAAAAATGTCAGATGTGCATTTGGCAGGAGTGGTGCCATGTGAACAGCACAGCACATTAAAATTATGAGGTACATGTAAGTTGCAAAATCAAAGCAGATTAGATGGATTAAGGTACATGTACATTCCTTGTTTCAAGAATGTGTTCCTAAAGCAAAGGTTTTGGAATACTGAACACTTGCCTGGTTGAGCCTTGTTAATCAAATGCGTACAGTTGTCACAGTGCCGATTTCAGTACCCTTAACATCGGTCTAAATTGTTCACTCATCTGTGTTAATAACATTAAAAGCTGTATACCACGCCAAGGAAGACATGCTACCCTTTCTAGAGATATACATGTATTTCTCTTTCCCATCTATTAAGTAGTTTTGCCATTACAGTAATTTTTATCTTGGTAGGTGTATTATTTTTATGTGGACACCCTGTATGCACAGGTGCTTTACACTTAGTGGAGTAAAGAACCATTAATTTGCATTATATATGCATACAGCTAAGAAATACAGGCTAACTTAACACATTCTTAATAGATTTTTGGTAAAGACATACACGTACGGCTGGGCAGAACATACATGACAAAGACTTGTTAAAAGCAACCACAGGAGGGCTCCATCCACTCTGACTGATCAGGACAGATGCATACGTGACCCACTCTGTGAAAATGAGTTTTAAGTAGCCAGAGCCACTTTTTGAGTTCTCATTTGTATTGGAAAGAGCAAATTAAGTTTTTGTTTTGATGTATCGCTCAGTTTGAAATCCTGATGAAAGTGAAAAATGCTGTGGGTTCCTATTGATTTACACTATGCACAGTTATTCTAAAGGACTTTTTACTCCAAAGTGGCTCTTGCAACTTATGACTCATTTTCACAGAGTGGGTCACATATTTTACATTGACCTGCTCCAGATTTTTCTGCTAACCATGGTTTTGTGGGTAGTTGTCATTTGATCTGACACCCCAAATATCAAATTTCCAGTCAACGTACAGAAAAAGAAAATAGAAAAAATTGTAGCTGGTCTTTCTCTCTGTGAACTTTCTCCATGAATTTTATGAATGAATGAACAAAAATGAACGAGGACAAGCTTCATGTATACAGACTTTGGAGTCAAAGTAAATATAGGTAATGTGACACCTGTGCATAGTTTGGAATAAAGGGGGAAGGAAAGGGATACATACCACTCCCCAGTAAGGAAGCTTTTCAAAAAGTCAGGCCGTACCTCTTCTAACTGGGAGCAGTGCTCAACCTTCACTAATCCTACATAAACAAACAGATACGGAGGCATGAATGGGGACAACCACCCTTCATGGGGATAGGCCACTGCCAAGTACATGTATACAGGTTTTTTTTTGTCACAAGATGAAGTCAGAGCGCAGAAGGGTGTTCTGAAGACAACAAATGTGCACCATGTTGTAGTGTTGCAGCATGGTGTCATGATGTGCCACTGCCCGTCACATTGTGCCGCCAGCTATTTCCTTAATTAATGCGGATAAGTACGTGGCAGTACGTCATGTCGTTGCATCCTCTGTCGCGTTGTGACATCGTCCGTCACTTCAAGCTATCGTCCATCTCCTCATTGCAGTTGCCTGTTTCCTCAATGCTGATTGATACACTGCAGTCCGACGCAATGGGCAATGCCATGGTGTGATGGGCGATGGCATGATGCAACATACTGTTATGCATTAATCAGTACTGAAGAAACAGGTGAAATCACGATATGAATCCATGACCTGACAGGGAACGGCACTGCACAATGTACATGTACAATGCCATGACGCGATGCACATTTGTTATCTAAGTTAGAACACCTAAGCACAGACTAGATCAAACCTGTTAGTTTAATGTTTGTCCATGAAGGTTAGTAAACTTCTCTTCTAGGGACCCCGTGGAGTCTTCAAGGGCCTGTTTGTTTCACACGGATCCAAATCTTGATCGATAATCTGTCACTGGTTCACTGACACCAACACCTGCCTAGTAGATGGAGTAAACCTGTGTTGAGATCACTGATGGAAATCTAGATCCATGTGAAACAAACGTTGACATCTGTTGTCCTTCCTTCACGGTACAACAAACATACATCATGTCGTGGACTCCCATCTTGTGGTTCTGCAGCAATTAATGCTAACCAAGAACCAGACATTAATGTATTTTTCAATTTGGTGTTTCATCATTGTCTCAGCAATTTCTTATTAGGTGAGGCTATTGTCAGAACACTAGCAAAATTTACGCCCTGATCATACAAAAATTCATGCTTTGATTTCAAAACACAAATAACTGAAAGCCTACACCCAGAACTGTGAGATCCGATGTCCGCTCTGCTCCGACAGTTCTGGGGGTACTGAAATTCCACATTTACATAATATGAATGTTTGTATAAATACAGTACAATGCAATTAGGTTTTGGATTTGTCAAGGATTAATTTTGTCTCCTTCATTACTATCAAGGGCAGCCTTTTTATTTTCATAAAGAGTAGATGTAATGATGTCACCGACTGTAACTTGGCCCCGATGTGCGTAAAAAAAAGAAAAAAATGACATTTACCCATTGTATTTATTTGTTGTATTGTGTTCAATTGTTTCTATTTGTGACTCAATGCGATTGCAGCTAAATACTTGACTACACACTGGGTGCAGTCGATTAGCTTACACGAGAGCGTTCGTTTAGTCATCACGTGATCTTTGTGCCTGCCTTGGTGTCAGCCACCACTATCCCAGCTGGCGAGCAGTTCTCTGGAGGCTGCCCGAGTGTAATGACCTCATGGATGGACTGTTCGTTTGAGCATGGACATGATGGAACAGGCGGGGCCTTGACCTTTTCCCCCAGAATGCCTTGGCGAATACACTGCAGCATTCAATCAGCCTCATTTTGAGGCTTCCCTTGCATGTAACACTGGTGTATTCAGGAAAGCTAATCGAACGCACTGTACATAGTCGACTTGACTCACTAAATCATGACTTGACTTTGCTTAAAAAAAAGGGGACTCATCACAACTCTGAGTAACAGTTCAAAGAAGTCAAATATTGCAAAGAGAGTATCAAAGCATTTAAAACTGCTTAGGCCCTAGATAGGCCTAATTATGTTTGGCCTACATTACTTGGAAAATACAATTTTCAGACCAGTCTCATAACTATCCTTAACAGTCCCAAATCCTCCAATATTAATATGACACCCTAGGGGGTTAGGGTTGAACATTTAGTAGGCCCCTAGCTGTACTACTATTAATATTAGTACCAACTGTGTCTACGTAGGCCCTAGCCTAGTCTTGTTAGGTTTGTTCACAAGCTTGGGTGTCAAATGTGACTGTGATGTCCATGTGTTGGGTTGAACTCAATCCTTAGACCTTTTTCACCCACGTGACTAAATGTAAACAATACCACCACGTGTGTGACGACTTGGCCAAGGTGATCGTATACATGTATATTCCTACGGGCAGCTTCAACCACGTGCAACCGCACGTGCGAATGCTGCATACTTGACTTGTTTATCTTGAATAAGTAGATTACCATCACAACACTATGCATCTAATACCATCACAACACATCAGAGCTCCAGCACGATCGTGACAACTCGTGTTTTCTTTTGTTTTAATTTTAAACTTCATGGTCTACCTTACCAGGATTAGAATCAGCCATCCGCGAGTGACAGGTCACCTGCACCCTGCATGGCTAGTCGCGATCACAGACCTGAAGCAGAAAATTCAGGTCTATGTCGCAATGCAAGCATCGCACGCGCTTAGTATAAACCAAAGATCGTATAGCTATAGCGCCGCGACACGATCTGTATATATAATCTCGACTCAGATACATCGATTTTATTAAATAGGGGTGTTCTTTAATTCACTGGAAGGTGAAGCACGAATGCGCAAATCTTGTATAACGATGACATTGAGGTGGACGTGGAACTTGCAAGCCCCTAAAATCTACTTCATATCTTGGAATTCTAACCTTTTCCCTTTTCAATTGCTCAAATCTTCAGTCTAATCAAGTGCCCAAATTTTTGTGGAGAATGATTGTTGGCTATTTAATTCAGAGGGGTTTGAAGAAACGCGGGCTATGTACATGTACTTTCAACCATAGAACAAAGTTACCAATTGTTTTCTTCTGAGAGGCCAAACTGACTTTGGAGCTGAATTCATCAGTATTCCTGAGTGCTGACTCAAGTCTCTGACGTAAGCAAGAACAGATCCTCTGAGAACCAGATTTTTGAAGGGCCAAACTTGTTTGGAAACTTGTTTGGGAGACAAAGTTTTAAACTTTCAATCGTTTATGGCTTTTCTACGGAGGCTTTTTACGGTGACCGCAAGGGTTCAGTCCCAAGTTTCTCTGTTTCTTCGTTTTCAGTAATCCAGTTTGATCGGAATTCACTCCGATTCAATTCACTTTACTTTTTAAATTTTTTTTTTACTGTACTGGAAAAAAATAGCTGTAGATTGACCTGGGAAAAAACACAAAGACCAACTTTAGTTTAAAAAATTAACACCATGGCAAAGATATCAATGACTTCTTTTCAAACCAAACCATATGATGCATGACATTTCATCATTGGAGATAACAGCAAGTTCATGATAGAAAATGAGGCAGGTTGGTTAGACCTATTTTACAAAACATCCATTAAGGATGCCGAAAAGGTATAAAACAATATATCCCTCATGATATAGACTTGAACATAACTTGATATCTGCAGGAACTTCAGTTGGAAAAACTGGCTTGTAACGACAAAAATTACTCTTTTGATATGAGCCCAATGCTCAATCTAAGACAATTTATTTCATTTTAAGCCTGACATTTGGATGAAGAACTCTGATACCATTTTAAGAAGTGTCATCAGTTCTTTCAAGATCTGGACGGATTTGTTTATTCTTACTTCTGTTGTCCTAAATTTGTTTCATCAGCAAGCATGACGGTCCCTCTCAGAAACCTCATCGCGAAAAATTACCCATGAAATAATGGATCAGTCTAAGGTTTCTCACAACATGCACAAAGCGCGCCACCGGATGTGTGGCACAACAATGGAAAAACACAGGCATACCACGTGTATGACATTTTATTCCACCATGATTCAACCCGTATATAACGCACAAAACTAGCGGGCTGAATGGATTTGCTATCATGACTGTTGGCGCGGGATCAAAGAATCGGGTTATCCACAGTACGCACTCGCACAATCGCCTCAAAAGCAATCGTTGCTCGAGAATACCGAGATTTGGAGTCGTTATTTCATCGGTGAGTATGAGGAATAAGCTCTAGAGTAAACCCATGAAACGATTTGTAGAAATTGTAACATAGAGTTTGTCATGTTTTGTACTTTCAGAATCGAAATAGGGCCTAAGTTTGAGTAGGCCTATGCTGGCCTGTGACATGTCATGTTGGCTATGTAGTTGAAAAGAACGATTTATGAAAATGCCGGGACTACGGCGATCTACCATCACCGACTATTTGATCTGACATTGGTGTTAATGTTTGTGCCAACTGCAGAGTGAAATGAAATCAAGGCTTTGTAAAAATAAATGTGTACAGCGTGCAAGTCCCTTTGCGCCGTACCCACTACACCGGCGTGACCGGTAAGGTACTTCCTGATCTGGAAGGCAGTACCAGTCTACTACTTGTGACCATGCCTAGCTTACACTAGTAGTAGGTAGTACTAGTGTAGGCATAGTCATGATGGTACCCAGTAGGACTTCCCAAATCTTGACTTTTGATGGGTTGGTAACACATTGGGTTTTTGAATGCAGCCCAGCTGCCAGCAATTACCCTCCATTTCTCATTTAAACTGCACTTTCTCAATCAAGTCTTCCTCCGAAAACCAAGAATTTATCAAGTTAAAATCACACAACCAGTGATGACCCATGGTGTTTGGACCATGTAACCAACTATTTTTAGCAAAATTCAGAGATTTTTTGTACCATCCTGCTTTCCATCACAAGATGACATGGTAGACAATATTGGCTCGACCATATTAGTGCCTTACTGTTCAGGAAGTAGACCAATTTATTGAATATTTGCACACTGTAATAAAAAAACCTGCTAGATATGGAGTGTCTGTCGACAGTCCTTATCAGCATATGGGCATTGTACTTGTTATACCCCAACTGTAGTTTCCCAACTGTAGTGCTGCAGTTGGGCTGCCTAACTATTGTTGACCAATTTCTATAGAAATTTTCTCAACCTTACCCAAGTTTATGCATCTTACACTTGACACAATTCATCTGAAATATGGCACTTCATCTATGACATGACAATGTCAACAATATGACTTTGTTACATGCTGCACACATGCACAATGGACCTCTGTGCTGTAGTTGGGACTGATGTTATAGTTGGGGTGTAGCATACCTGAACGGACTCTGTCATTTGTATTCTGCAATGAGCAGTTGAAAGACCCATTTTCGATTGATCCATAGCAAGGTACTCACTGCAGAAAAGTTTTATTGCAGTCCTTTGATAAAATTTTATTATCAGCTTGAAAGCCTCGATCACTGGACCATAAAGTTTTATTGTACAGTACAGAAGTGAGGTTACCAGTTGAATCACCCTCATTGAATGAGGATAGGCAACAGCCTTCCATTTTCATCAGGGGTTTCTTTGGCTGTGCTTTATATACATGTATTTATCTTCCTTAAATTAAAACCTGATTGGGTGAGTTTAAAAGTTGCATTTGTACGACACTTAATGTAATGTGCCTGTGTAAATTACAAGTCACTTCAGAATTTGTGGTTGATGACTTAACGTAAGAAATGTTCACACAAGAAGTTGCTTTGCCATGCTTGTCAGTATTTGATTTCATGCCCAAATGTGTAAACATTGAAAACATACAGGTATAAGCATAAACCAAACTTACATGTATACTTGAAAAAAGGAGGGTCAAAGGTATAAATAATAACTACAAATTATAAATATCTGAAATACCGGTATATCTGAAATTAAATCAGAAGAAAATTCTACATGATGTGCAAAATCTCAGTGGACTATGTAGAAGTGCACAGTAGCCATCACTGTTCTCTAGCCACAACTTTTATTCCATCGATAGTAGTTGGCTGGTATCTGATACAAGAGCATACAGTTCATGACACAGAGATGTGTACATAATAATCCAAGAATATTCGCACCCTCTCCCAGGGAAGGACAAGCTGTCACAAAACATGTTCATTTCTTTGCTCAGGCAGTTTTGGCGCTCGAATAATTTCCGATACAGCCTGATGTACATGTACACGCAGCTGTACAAGTTAAAGTTTATTGACATCATCGCTGTTGCTCAGTTTGTTATTCAAGAAAACTACACTTTAATAATTCTCTGATCTTTAAGCGGCGAGCTTTCCTTCTGCATGAAAATATGCGTATTCCAACTTATAGCCTTTGTGGAACGGCCATGGTAGTAAATTGCAAACATCTGGAAAATTCTGGACTTTTGACACTTTCAAAAGTAGACTGGTACTGTGAAGATGGGTAGTTGGTGAGGATAAAGGGTCATGCCAAATGTACTTTTCATTTACATGTATTTGATTTGCTTTGATTTTTTGGTACCAGGATGTTTAGAAGTTGAATTACATGTATTTATGGAGCTCAAATTTTACCCATTGTGATTGTAGGGAGTAAAAACATCTCAACTGTCCTTCATGCTGTGTAAACAGTAGCCCACGGTTGTTGGAGCATTAAACCAATATTTTTTCAAGGAATGACCTGTTTGGTAACTCTTACCCTGCCCCCCTTTGTCGTTAGTCCTGATTTTATGGGATGTGGGAGAAAATCAATTTTTGGCACAGCACTCCTATTCACTCCTGCGTCACTTCTTCCTTTCACAGAGTTGAAGCTGTCAACTAGTGTTAATCAGGATGTTAGCAGCGTAGACTGATCAAATAGAATTCTGGTATTGATATTTCTTGTTGTTAATCCTTGCTTTTGTGTTAACTGCCAGTTGGTTGATCCTCCTGCTTTTGTATGCCTTCAAAAAGCCCTTTCTTCTTTCCTTCACGTTGCATTATTCATGCCCGCTTGTGGGATGAGATGAACAAAATCATTCAAAGAGGTGGGATGTCTTTCCTTATTGAGGTTTCTTGAAGATTCTTGGATAGTTTCAAGTGAAGAGCCACTGGAAATTTCTTTCCCACCAGGAAAAAATTGATTTGTGGCTTTTTATTTCACTTGGTTAAGCTAGGGCCAAGTTGTCAAGTTGCTAAACTGCTAACCTCCAGCATAAAGTTGTAGACCTGATGCTTTCGCATGGTTGGAACTATTGATTTTTTCCCTGAATATTTCGAAACAGATTCTTCTCTTTAAGTTAGCACATTCTTTGCTGTGGCTCACTGCTAACAGGCTTCTGTCAGCTGAAATGAAGGTCTTTGGTTCTAAAATAAAGAAGCACGAACCTTCAATGTTGTATGTGCCATTTTAGGTGTTAATATTTAGGATTAAACTACTCTCAGAAGAAACATTCAGATGAAATGGAGGTCCACACGTAGGACATTTTTAATGTTTTGAAAATACTTCCTGCAGATTTTCTTTGTGAACCCATACTTGTTTCATACATGTCCTATTTGCCCTAAGTGTTGGTGAGGCTCTAGTCCAAAAGTGGCCAGCTTGAATCTGTCCGCTGCCTACCCTTTTTATCTTTAACAACCCTTTTTAATCCTGTCCTTTCAACAGAATCAACAAGAGGATTTGCTGCAGTTTTCACCCAATGACAGTGTGTGTCCCTGTTAAAGTGGACTGCTGAGTTAGCGGTGATAACCCAAACCTTTGTATTTATTGAGCTGCATTGCTGACCTGACCTTTTGGGACATGAGTGTGGGTTGCAGCAGCATAGAAAGTCTGGAAGATGCAGCCGAGTAACGAAGAGCGCCTGAATATGCTCGAGGACAAAAATGACACAATGGAAGAGCGGCGGGGCAGCAACGTCAGTGACTCGTCGGAGAGTGCTTACAGCAGCAATGGCATCTCCCCCAACCTGCCCAACCACCACGAGCGGAAGGAGTCGGTGCGGTCCTACCGGCTGCGCCGTAAGCTGCGGCACCGCAAGCAGATGCAGCGACTGGTCAGCAAGGATGGCGTCTGCAACGTGGCCCACAAGCGTGTCAAGAACTTGGGCAAGCGCCTCATCGCTGACATCTTCACCACGTTGATTGACCTGCGGTGGCGCTACAACCTGAGCGTCTTCACGCTGGCATACGTCCTCAGCTGGTTCCTCTTTGGCATAGTGTGGGTGATCATTGCTGTGGCTCACGGGGACATGTACTATCAGAGTCGTAACATCACGGATCCAGCTTGGCAACCATGTGTAGACAATGTTGATTCTTTCACTTCGTCCTTTCTGTTCTCGGTGGAAACACAAACAACTATTGGGTATGGTGTAAGGAGTGTGACCGAAGCCTGCCCTCATGCTATTCTCGTTGTCGTCATTCAGTCCGTAGTAAGTTGCTTGATAGACGCTGTGATGATTGGTTGTATATTTGCCAAGATAGCTCGCCCAAAGAAGCGAGCAGCGACACTCAAATTCAGTAAAAATGCTGTGATTGCTCAACGCGATGGAAGGTTCTGCTTTATGTTTCGCGTGGGTGACATTCGAGACTCCCACCTTTTTGAAGCGCATTTGCGGGCGTACCTCATCAAACCGCGAGTGACTGCTGAAGGGGAGATCATTCCACTGCACAGTTTCAACATGGATTTAGATTTTGACACTGGAGAGGACAGGATATTTCTAGTATGGCCTCTCATTATATGCCATGAAATCGACGAAGACAGCCCGTTATACGAATACTCTGCCAAGGGGCTTGAGAATGCTGACTTTGAGATTGTAGTAATCTTGGAAGGCATCGTGGAGCAGACTGGCCTCACCACACAAGCCCGGACCTCCTACCTGCCCTCGGAGATAATGTGGGGTTACCGCTTCGCCAGCTCTGTGGTCTTCTTGAAGAGCGAAAATGACAAGCAGTATGACATTGACTACTCCAAGTTTGACCAGATTTACCACGCACCTGAAACGCCACGCCTTAGTCCAAAGGAGAACGATATGAGGAAGAGACGGGCTGCCTCCATCTCGGAATCACCCATGGACCCTCTGGATTCCCTCCGAGACTACATCCTGAAAGTCATGAGAGAGGCTAAAATTGACGATGCTGACAAGGACCAGGATACGGACCTGCGGAACCGGATATACAACAAGAGATTGGAAGCTCTGACATCTCGCGACAAAACGCGGTTCAAGAGTCGCAGCAGTGAGCACCTGTCAGTGAACCGGGTAAAGAATGCCTTCCCCCTTGTTGCGGCCAAAAGCGAGTCCATTGATAAAATGACGATCAACACTGATGACACGGCTTATCGGCGGAACTCCGGCCAGAACTCTAGTGACGGAAATGTCAGTCCGCTTTCCAGAGAGTCTCACGTATGACACAGTAGGTAAGTCAAAGATTGACACGCTGTTGGAATTTGCTAACAATGCCAACGGCATTCATCAAATATGAATTACTCGTACTGGGTATCTTGCCTTTTTATGAAGACTGTTGTACACAAACCTACTTCACCAAATTTTGAGTTCAAACTGTTCTTTGGATGCGCATATTTTGGCCACTTCTTTAATTAATTAACATCAAAGAGCAACCAAGGAAACCCAGTCAACCTGTTCACTGTTGGAAAATTTCAAGTTTAAGTACCCAAATTGAATAATTTTTTTTTTCACTCTAGTTACATGTATTTTACATTATTTAATACATTGTATTGCAGTGTACGGTTAAGATGTTCAAACATGCACTACAAGCTAATGTACGTCTTGTGTAAACTTGCAGGTGTGTGAAGGGTTTTGTATACATGTACATGCTTACATGCGCATGTATGGTTTTGTGTACTTAACATGATTAAGATTAGGAAGTAATTTACAAAGTAGGCCTCCAAACAAAACTATTTTTTTTCTTTGGTAAAAAAAATCTTCCCCTTTGTCAGTGTATTTCAGAGTGTTTCTGCGGTTTTATTAAACATCACTCATTTGGTTTATTTGGAGTTAAAACCCCTAGTATTTTGAATTGTTACATGTACATTGTGTTTTTTAGAACGTGCCTTTACAGAAATGAGAGGAGAAAGTCTCAAAGTTTGGAAAGTTCTCAATTTTTCATGCCGTCACGACAGCTCTGTGCCTGTATTGGAAAGTGTCGTGATTATTTTGTTGGGTGGGAATTTTGTCTTCAAAAACATATTTGCTGAGTGTGAATGAAGATTCTGAGACATCAGATGCTCTTTTGGTACAAGGATTTAACCTGGGATGAGGTAGTGGCCGTGCTACAAGACGTGCATGTTTTGGTCAAGAATTATTATTCGCTTATTCAACTGACACAGTAAAGGGCGGGGGGAGGGGGGAGTCTTGTTAGCAGTGTTTGCCCATGGCAATGGTTTCTATAAGTGTTCTAACCTCCAAGAACATTTATTTGTATTGTCGGGAATAAGCATGTAAGCAGTAGAACGCTCTGTTCATGCAAAGTCGTTATCTCCTTTTGAAGTAACAAAGGGACGCAGCACAGTACACATGTACATGTACTTGTCGATTTTGGAATCAAAATGGACGTGAACACGTTTTTGATTTTCATTTCAAAAATGGAAAACTCTCTCTGGTCTTATTCCATTGATAGCCTTTACACTGATACAAATGAATAACAGGTTGTGGAGTACTCAAGGTGTGGCAAAAATATATGAGGGAAAAACCTCCTTGCCGAACAGCACTGGCCCCCTTTACTGTATTTTATGCCATTACTGTTAAACAGATGTGTGACATCCAACCTATGCATTAGGTTGTGATGTTCCCATTTGCCATGTGACTAGGAATATGCCGTTGAGTTGTTGCACTGTTTAGGATTAAAGATACATCATGTAGGCCAACAGTCCATCATTTGAAGTTAGCCAGAAAAGTACCTGATGAGTTGTTGCACATGTATAGAGCCTGAAAGTTGACCCCTGATGGTGCGCTTCTGGAACCCTTGGATAGGAAAAATAACGTGCAAAGTTTTTAGAATTTGTAATATTTTTTCATTCAGTTACTTCTTAAAAATTCCAACTCTGAAAAGAGGCTTTGGAAAATAGTTGCTAGTATATCAATGTATAGAAACTGAAATTTTACCAGATCTGAAAGAGAAATATCCTGCCAAAAATTGACCCATCACTTCAGAAAATCTAAAATATATGAAGAACAGTCCACTGCAGTGGTCTTGTGTGCAGATGAACATATACGGTTTGAAATTTCATGGTAGTCTGTCAGTACAAGCGGAAATAGAAACAGATAGAAATATTTCACAAACTGTTTTGAAGTTGATAAACTTAAAGCAATAATCTACTATATTAGAATCTTTTAGCAAAGATTCTTATATAAATCCTTCGCTGACAACAACTGTGTTATCAACAGATCATGGAACCCATTGACTACAGGTAGGTAAATCTTTGCAATGTTTTGTAATCATGTATGATATACATGTAGTAGGTAGGATATCACTGGACGTGAAAGGTCATTGATGAAATTTGTTTTTTACCCATCTCCAGATGACTTTTCCTAAATATTAGTTGAAAAAAACAAAGGTGAAATTCCAACATGAGTGTTTCATGGGGTGATTTCAATTAGGAATTATTCTTGCAACAATTATCGAACGGCCCAATGTAAAATCCCCATAGGCGGACCACACGAGGGTTCCGGAAGCTCAATGCGTGACCTTTTACTCTCAGGCTCTATTGTTGAAAAGCGTAGTTGGTTTAAAGATGGTCATGGAACTAAACGCCCTGTGAAATTATTCTCTCTGTCATTTTGAAGAAAACATTGAAAGAAGACCATTTCAGTTACCGGTACTAAAGATGTGTTTTGGGGGAATCCCTTGGGAAGTGCGTGCAAGCGTCATTGGCACACATACACACACCCATATTAGTGTGTGACATCACTTAGCCGCACTCTGAGTGAACATGAGAACAGATTCCAGACTCTGAATTCAGGCACAATTCAAAACATGACTCTGAAAGTTTAGATCTGAAATCAAAACCCTGGAATATTGTTTCTCTCTGAATGTACCGGTACGGTATGTGTTGAGCTGAAACTTCATCAGTTCGATCTTGCACTCACGTCTTTAGATTTTAAGTAATTTTATTGCCTCAATAAAGGACAAATGATACAAATTAAAGATGAATCCATCTAGTTTTTGTTTCAAAGTCAGAAAAAAAAAAGTTGCCAGAGATTATTTTCTGCAGATTCACCGACCCTTTAGTTTGGATCATCAACAGTTACATGTACATGTACATGTATGTAGGCTTACGGTAGATCGTCTAAACACATCACTTACCGGGGGATTTTGACTGACAAAATGATTAGCTTTTAGGGGAGAATAAACACCCGAACCTCTGGGTTCTAATTGACTTCCTGTTTACCACCTGCATTTGCAGTTTTCTTTGGGCACCCTATTTTTACACACCACGTACAGGATGAATGTATACCTCCATTAAAATTAATGTGCAGGAGAGCGACCCATAATACAAGTACTCCGAGCATGCGCTTGTTATTACTTTTCACTTTTTTCTGTGTGTAGAGAAGGTTGTCAGGTTTTGTTGAATTGTTTATACCTTAGGCTTGTTTTGCCAAAGCCAGTTTGTTTGTCCTTGTCTGTTTATGTGTGTCATTCGATCCATCTATCAGTGTTACCCACCCACCTCGTATTTTTAAGCATTGGGCAAGTTCAGCGACACTTTTTTCTTCACACGTTCATTGGGAGTTAGTGTACACCGATATGCAGTACATCATGTACAATGTACATACATGTAATGTACCTGTATGAATGCCTCAACCAGACAAATAGGGAAATACTGCATGTGGTCCCTGACTGTTATTTTGGATGTGCTTAATGAAGGAAGAGCTCGTTATCTGCTCCGAGCGGAACAATTAAAAGAGGGCGTGTTTTTTGGTACTCGCCGCATAGGCCTGCCTCATGGCACAAGTATATGCGCGTTTGACATGGAGCACGCTGAGAACGCGTAACTAATTTATTCTGGCATGTATGGTCTTTGCGGGTATACAGAGCGCGTGCAAGAACTCGCTTGTAACCACCTGTCTGTCTTTTGCCGATTGGGGCTGCACTTCAGCTTGGGGCGGATTCTGTGGATGGAGATTGACTACTGAAAACTGAGGGATAAGAAATTGCTCGTCCAATTTCTCCAGAGATTCTAGAATTTTCTTGCCTTCCCATGCCCAGGTTTTGTCAAAGGCTAACATATATTCTTAATGGTTTGCCTTTATGGAAACAATGCTGTGGCTTGGATCCTAGTTGATTCACAGTTGGATTCTTGGAAGATCATTTGAAATTAATAGTTGATAAAACCCTCTTATGTCTGAGGGAAAATGTTGTGTTCTTTTTTTCCAACACCACCCGAAAAGGTGAATCATTACTTCAGCCGTAGTATGTGAGGTATGTTGTGCTGAAGGGCAAGTTATTACTGTGGGAAAGATTTTCCAGCCCAAAATTGTGACGTAGTTCCAAAGCAAGCTTTTGCATATGCATAAACATCAAATTCTTTATCCGAGCGTCCAGTCTACATGTACATTGGTAAGTGTCAGTTGAATTAGAGTTTTGACAGTTTTCAACTGGGCAGTTCAAGCATCCCTGGAAAGGGAAGTGTCTGTGCTTAAGCTGTGTCCGAGACGAGCTTCCAGAGCTATGGCTAGGTCTCTTGTCTACGCGTCTCCACACATTTCCAATGGAGGAAAGATCTAGACCTAGCTCTAGACAACAGATTCGGATGCAGCCTTATTTTTGAGAGATATGCAGCTACATGTACATGTACACCTCCAAATTTGGAGTTCAACAGCGCTGTTGATTTCTTTCAATGACATGTACATTTCTTAATGCACTGCTGGTAACTTAATTAGAATACAGTTGCCGTAAGCACCATTTGCACTAGGCGGGAAAGCCAACGTGCCCGTTCACCACAGCTACATGTACATGTAAATGTACACTCCACGTGCATGTGGGCACTTGTCTGTTACCCCTGCACATACATGTACGACTTCAGCTTAGCAACGGACAGGCCTGATTTAATTTATGGGGACCAGTCACCAGAAAACGTTACTCATTCAGATGAGTAATTTTCCCAGATGGGTGTTTACTCTATAGAGTGAAGGTCCCGGAGGCTGACTTGTCTTCTGAATCAGCAGAGACGTACGACGTGCTCATGTATCATTTTTCCTAGGCACAGTCATCTGTCTCTAGTAGTCATACTCAGATTTCCAAATCTCTGCTGTTGATCTCATAACATGATGCCATGATTGGGACAACTTGTCCAAAAAGTGCACTGAGACAGATTTCTTGGAGCAGCTGCACACAAAAAGTGTTTCACTTCATGAAAATTTTATCATATGTATATTGGTGATCTGAGCTTACATGTAC